GGCCAGGAGGACATGGGGTGGCATCCTGCTTCCCTTATTCCTTTGCTTTCCTTCTAGTTTCCATTCCAGGGCTGGGCAGGGTAAGAGTGTGCAACAAAGCAGAAGATACACAGCACCCAAGGGAAAGGCCACATAAAGCAATGGGGGGATGTGTCCCAGAATGCTCTAGCTCAGAGGGCTCTTCTGGAACATCTCATCCAAACCTCTAAATTTATAGGTACAGAAAGAAGCCCAGAAAAGTTAAGTGACTTGTCCAAAGATAACACAGCAGGCTAATGGCAGCAGAACCCAAGTCATCAGCACACTTTTCTCTGAATCACTAACATGATGAACTGGGTTTAGGGGGGAAAACACCACAAAATATATAAAGTCCATGAACAAGGCTCCCTGCATCAGTCAAATAAACACATCTCCTTTAAAACTACCTATGTTTCAATCTCCCATTTCTATCAGCCCCTTTAGTTTACTAAGCTCAAATTTCTCATTCTTATCCACGATTTAATAGATACCCTCTGGCCTGGGAATCCCAACTTTTCCCAGCATGTTACCACTTGAGAAGGGTGAGCTTTGGGAAGCAGAAGTACAATATAAATAGCTATTCCAACTCAGGAATATTCTGGATCACACATTTTGCTTATAATAATGCTCACTCTAAACTCAGCAGCTTTTGAAGGTAATGGTGCCAGAGAGGCAACAGATGACCCATCCACCAAGAGAGAAAAATTCAAGAACTAGTAACAAATAAGGAAACTGGAAGGAGGGCACATGCTTTGGGCTCAATCTGGAGGATGAGATGAACCATTTCCACTCAGTGAAAGCAGAGAATGACTTGGAAGGCAATGTGTACCATAGGAGAAGAGGGCACAACCAAGGATGCGTGAATCAGGTTCTCTGACATTCCCCCTTCCTGTGTGAAGGAAGTCAGCTCTTGATTATCTCCCAAATGATAACCCATTTGGTCTGGTTACCCAGTGTCCAGGGGCCTCCAACCAGAGTTGGTCATAGGCAAAACTGACTAGAAGAAAACATGATCTAATGTACTTTCCACCTTCYAAATAATATATTGGCACTTAAGCCAGTGCTTTGGTGCCTCAAGCATCCCCAGTGGGCTGATAGAATAGGTACTTTAGGGGTTGGGGYTGTGGCTCAGTGGTAGAGCACTCATGTAGCATGTGTGAGGCACTGAATTTGATTCTCAGAACCGCATATAAATAAATGAATAAAATAAAGGTCTATCAACGTMTAAAAAAAAAGAATGGGTACTCTAGAACTTGTGTGTCATTGGCTGCATGCCAACCCTGTTCCATCACCTAGGGGAACTGCTCCAGGAAGAAGGTGCCGGGCTCTAGAACAAGGGCAACTTAGTGAATGCCTGAAAAGTATGTCTGGGTTCCAAAATAAATGTATATGGGGGATTAYGTATTATTTTTATGTTATTCAGATCAAGAGTTAATCATATTATGAATCATTACACCCTCTTTTAGTTCACTGTACTAAGAAAAACTGGTTCTCACTATATTTCTGAGGGGATTAGAAAACTCTCAAAATGACCTTCCTATAAAAGAAAAAAGTCCAAAAAATTTTCATTTCAAATATATCATAATTAGTAATACAAGATAATTAGTAAACTAGCAAACATCCTTTAGAAAACACCTCTCATAAGAATGAGACATAATGAAGAAAAAAAGGAAAAGATAAAGGAATGAATGAAAAMCACAAGAGATGTAAGGTAAACTAAGAATTTAAGAATTTAACTTAATTTAAATATTGGGACTCAAAATAACAGGCAGAATAAGCTGAACCARAGCTCTTTCTGCCTGCTGAATTTCTAGGAGTCAAAAATGAAGGATTAAAATGGCTTTCTTTCAAAGGAACACATTTTGTCATCTGATCAATCCGTGACATGGATAAGAATAAGTAACTTATGGCTGCACTCTTAAGTGGAAGCAAATACCTGAATATGTCCTCATTCACTTCAGGATGGCAAATCACTAAGTGCTTATTATCTTTTTTAAAAAAAATAATAATCTGTCTGTAACCTTTTTTTAAAGAAAAAAATTATTTTTAATTAAATTTTTTAATATTTTTATTTTAAAATAAACTGTTCCCAAAAAATACTGACTACAGAGGAAGAAACATAGCAATGAACAGTGGGAGAAAGCAGGGGCTGGGGATGTGGCTCAAGCGGTAGCGCACTCGCCTGGCATGCATGCGGCCCGGGTTCGATCCTCGGCACCACATACAAACAAAGATGTGTGTCTGCCGAAAACTAAAAAATAAATACAAAAAAAATTCTCTCTCTCTCTCTCTCTCTCTCTCTCTCTCTCTCTTAAAAAAAAAAAAAGAGTGGGAGAAAGCAAAGAGCAGAAAGACACTCAGAGCCCACCAACCTAACTACCCAGGACATTCAGAGACCCTTGCTATGGCACTGTCCTACCATTTCTGCTTCCCAAAGCTCACCTTCTCAAGCGGTAACATGCTGGGAAGAGTCGGGATTCCCAAGCCACAGGGGTATCTATTCAATCATGGATAAGAATGAGAAATTTGAGCTTAGTAAACTAAAGGGGCTGACAGARGCCACTCATGTGAAAGCTCAGTCAATGTACTGGGATACTTGGAGCTAAAGGGTCAAAGAGACACATTTCCTCAACATGTAATTCTAAAGGTATCAGTTTGTACTCACTGGGGCAATGAGAGTCCCCCACTTCACAATCATTTCTAGGATTCTATCCTCAAGAAATTCCAAAGGATGGAGTCAAAGAGCTATACACAAGAAAGTTCACCACAACATCATTGGTAATAATGACAATGGGGGCTGGGGATGAGGCTCAGTGGTAGAGTACTTGCTTTGCATGTGTGAGGCACTGGTTCGACCCTCAGCACCACATAAAAACTAAATTAACAAACAAATATATTGTGTGTCCCTCTACAACTAAAAAACATTAAAAAAATAATGACAATGAAGGATCAACAAAGAATGAATAGCTAAAAGAAGGTAAAACTACTAAGAATTTATTTTCAAAGACACATAAACTACTTTTGATACCATGCCAATGAGGGAGGAAAATTAGAATACCAACCTGTGTGTATGTGTAACCCTCAATTTTGTTTAAATATTATACACATATTATATGCATTTTTAAGTACTGAAAGAAAATCCATAAATGTATCAGTAAAGTTTAGCTCTGTTCTAGATGAAAGATGTTTTCTGTTCTAGAAGATGGATGATTTTTATTCTTTCACTTAAGACTCTTCTCTAATAAGTATATATTACTTTTACATCAGGCAAAAAAATAAATATTTATTTTTTTAAAATATCTACCCTAAAATCTCTCATTTAAGATGGTAAATATTACCCTTAGGGAAAGGCTGCTAGAATTCAAGGCAGATTCAGAATAAAAAGATTCACATCTACTATGAAACCCTTTTCTGGTCTAGCTTCCTTGCCACTGGCTCTGTTACTGGACCCTGCACAGAGTTCCAGAGAGAAGCCACTCCCTCTTCCCACAGCACACAAGGCACCAGAACAGTCCTCCTAAGTGTTTCTCACCTTTTCATATGAGGATCAGAAGAAAAGAGAGAATCCTATTCTCTTATTTCAGGGAAATATGTTTTTCTTACAAAGCTACCAAAATGACTCAAAATCAACTCTGCAAACTGTGAAACACAGGTARTGAGTTATGTTTAGTAACCATGTATGAAAGTTGCTTAGTCTCAGGAATGAATACAAAAACCAATCTATGAGTGCCACCTTGTGGCAAGCCTAACTACCACCATGACCAAATATCTACCTGTTGTCCCCATCATCTCCCTGGCTCTCTTCTAACCTTGGGATCCACAACCAGGAGACACAGGCCCTGTGCTAATCTACTACATTGACCATACATTCTCCAAAGTGGCTGGTACTATTTGTTTTCAAGGATTTCTAGTTTACATCCCAGGAATGCCTGTTGGTGGACAAGTGGTAATGAAGAGGCAGAGGAACAGAACACAGGATGTGTACACAGATCTAGGCTTCAGACACAGCCCGACAGCCTGGGTACAAGTGTGTCGCATATCCATGCACATGCATCCTGGTACTGTCACAAGGCAGGGACCATAGGGTAAATATCTCCTCCCCCAAGAATACTTACTGACTTTATTAAGAAAAATTTCACATTTACAATCAGWGAATCTTGTGCTTAGCAGTTTTATTCATCAATGTCAGATCAATTATCACCAACTTGGGCACAAATCCAAATTACAGCTTTTGTTGGATTCTGGCCATAAAATTCTTTTCAAACTTATTAAGATCTTGTAAAATACGAAAGTTTTCCCAAAAGTTTAGAAAAAACACGAATCACTAATAAACTGATTTCATACTCAAAGTATAGCCTATCTTTATGAAAGATGAAACATCACCCTTTTGAACATCTAATATATTAATTCATCTTGGTGTCCTGGGCTTCAGAGGAGACGGAGAAATCCTCACACTGGAAACTGACCGAATGACTCTAAAAGTGAACTAAGTGCTGAAAATGGGTCAGTATCGCCAATCTGATGGAACATGGAACACTGAAGGAGCTGACACTGATTTTGAGCAAAGGTAATCTCCCCCTCAGAAAGAGATTAAACTAAAAACCTTCCAGCCCTGGGCAAGGGGAGTGCAGTGAGCAGGCACAAAGAGCATGAGGAAAAGCTAAACAAAGTTCCAAAGTCTCCTGGAAGAGTGTGTGTCTGCTTCTCTCTGTCCCACCCAGGCTGAAGGCCTATTTACAGAAAAGGGCTCCCTCAGTGTTAGGGTGGAAGTACATGACAGGAAGCTGCTGCTTTGGACRCAGATGTGTAAAGGGAAGCATTTTCCAGTATGTGAAATAAACCAAAGCAACACAGATGGGATGGATTCCAACCAGGTAAATTACGGGAGAGCAGAAGAAACTGGACTTATGAAGTTGAAGAAGGAAAATGAATCTGACTCCTTGGTTATTTCTCCAGCCTCTGAAAGAATTTTTTCTCCCTCCTAACCTGACAGGACTGACACCCTGGACAGTCCCTGCTAGAGGTAATTAGCATGGTGGACAGGGAAGAAACATACTACAAACATTTTCTGAAAGCCTTAATGAGTCACTTCAGGGAGAAGTCTTCATTTTGTCTCTTTACAGGGAAATCAGAAGAGGGAGAATAAAAATAGAAGTCAAACCTCTCTGGTCCACAAAAGTAAAAGATGATGATGGAAAAACAAACAAAAAAATACTGTCTCTGCTCAATTAAAATTCAAAACCACCAGCTCCCCCTTCAAACAACAGCCTTGCTCCATCAGAAGCACCCAGGTTTAGTACAAGTTAGTGTTCTGAGTTGCCATTCAGGCGTTGACAATTAATTATGTCTTAAAACAAGAACAGATGACTTTTCCACCTTGGCTCCAGCTTCCCAGCTGTCCTGACCTGGACAGGAAGCAGCTATCATGACAGTTTGATGGGAAGATCCTCCCCGTATTTGCGGAGCAGCTTCTGATGGTTGTGGTCCACTGACCACTGCTGGGGCAGGTGCTTGGGCTGCATGGAGTCCAGGAAGTGCTGGCGCCAGCGGCTCTCCAGCTGCATGAGGGATCGCAGCCCACCCTGGATGTGACACTGCACCACCTTCAGCCCGTGAGGAACGTAGTTTTCATTGGAAATCCTGCCAAAACATGAAACGCAAAGGGTCTGAGGGAAACAAGCACAGGACAATCTCACTGATAGCTTCAAATGCTGCAGGCCAGTGGTTTGGGAGCTAGTTAGAGTCCTAAGGGTCTGGTTACTTTAATGTTTAGAAAACATCCTCTTTATCATCTTTGCCTTTAAAATAGTTTGAACTATGGTTCAAAATCCAACAAAAAGTATTCAGGGGTTCTGAGCTATACGTTTTTCAGGAGACTATTGGTCTTTTATTTATTCCAATGTTACTCAGTGACCAGCTCAACCCTCCTATAAGTTATCCACTATTCTGAGCCATACCCAATATTAATATGAGGCTGCTAATCAGCCTACGGGTCCAGTTTTCCATAACACTGCAATACCTGAATATAAAACGCAGGGTGGTACACTTCTTTAGTGCCTTCTTTCCCACAGAATGCCAGAATTTGGGATGAGGATGTGGCTCCAAGGTAAAGTACATGCCAGACCACATGGACAAGAAGTGCTTCAGTCACAATGAAATGCTCCAGTGGTTGCTCAGCTGTGCAAATGGTGTTATTTGAAGGGGAAGATGACCCTCTGCCACCTTCCTAACCAGGCAAGGAGGCCTTGAAAACTGCTCTGACGTGTCACAGCATTTTCRCTCCTATGAATACAGGTGACCTTTCTCAAGGAAGCAATCTGCCCCCACAGCCTCTTTACTCCCTCTACACCACACTCCACTCTCAAGCTGCCCTCCAAGACCCCAATCAGTCTAGCCATGTTAGTGACTCTGAGTATTTGCATATATTTTATTATTTAGCTCATAAGTTTCCCCCTAACTTGCCTATCTGTCTCCAAATAGCTGTTCTCCTCAGTCTCAATCCAGCATCCATCTATATAATTCAGAAAAATGCATAGAAGGGTCTGTGGTTTAAAGGGGATGTTTAGCTGTTTTAGGAATCTCATTTGGGAATTAGTCAAAGAAGCCAGTCTCACTACTTTGTAATAAGACCTTGGCAAGTTGCTTAMCTTTAACCTCAGAATATTTAATATGAAATTTAGAAAATAACATTTAGAACTAYACAGAAGAGTTATATGGATAAAATTCAATAATAAATTTAATTTTTAAAAAAGTTTTAACGCAAGATAATATTAGCAGTTATCAGTAAGAAATCTAAATCCTACCTATCAGCTTATTATAAGAAATAATTAAGGCAATTTATGTAAAATTTATTAGCTTGGTGCCTCATGTATTCAGTAAATATATGCAATATATGTGACAGATCAGTAGCATTGGTAAAATACTTTAGGTTCTGAATAAATAATAAAATAAATATTTGCTGCTTTATAAAGTTTTCATTTCTTTATCTTTTCTTGATAAACAAAAACTACTATTGGCAACCAGCATCRCTATCTGGGTTTTACAGAACTTTACTACTATTGAAAATAGTGACAGCTGAGAAGCAACATTATGCACTGCAGCCCAGAGTTATCACCAGAGCCATGCACCCACTCATTTTTCAGGATCATAAACTTTTCATTTGGGAAGTGAGTTATGTCGTGCAAATTCAACTATGTACTCAGAGRGAAGGAGGGAGAAAGCAAAAAAGGAAGGAAAAAAGAGAAAAGTAATTTATATAGTCCAGTAATTCTGTCCAACATTCCATTCAGTGGACCAATATCCTGGGTGTGCAGGTGGGAATGGAAATGTGAATCTATTGGTCAAAGTTTTCACAAACCTGTATATGGGGCCAAAGACATAAAACCATACATACTCTACTTGATGGGAAACTTTAGAGAGATGCCAGAGTATTACTGGACAGTTACTTTCATGCTTTGTGCTGATTTCAGGATTTACCTTTGCACAGAATGACTAAGACAGAATTCCACAGCATCTGAACTATCATGCCAATCAAAATGGCTGAACTTAATTAAGCATGTGACCTTAAGGATAAACACTTCATGAAAGACAAATTTCTACAGAAAGGAAATTCTCAAATAGGCTGTTATACTCCACCCCCTTGCTACCTCAAATCACTAGACACATCCTGGGCTACGCATGAGGCTAGGCACTGCATCTAGAGGCTCATGCTAACTCCCTGACAAGCATTCTCACAAGTAGTGAGGGTTAACATCACTGTTAACCCTCAATTCCTTTTCTGACGAGCACTGTAAGTYGTACCTGGTCTCCAGGCTGGCAGCCTCTTGAAGCATGTCATCTGTGATGGTGTCAGTGTCATAAAACTCCCTGAGTGCCTGCAGAAGCTCCTCCTTTCGATGAGCAGGCAGGCTCTCCGCCGTGAGCAGGGCTCTGGCCCCAGAACGCACCTGCCTGCGCTCAGGATCCTCCAGCAGGCGCAAGCCCTCCTCAGAACCAATGGGGGCCTGGAACTCTTTGGCCAGCTGCTGCTTCAGATGGTTATCATAGTAGTTGGAAATGGCGTGGCAGGAAGTGCAGAGCAGGAGCACATCATGGGAGTTGTGATCCTTCATCTCAATTGGGAAGTGTTTCCGGTACTCATGTGGAATCACGTTCTTCCTGGACCAAACCCACGCAGAGAGCAGTGCTAATTAGCATATGACACAGAGAACATGTGAAGCTAGCAGGTGGGCAACTGTGAGTCTAACCAGGACTCAAACATYTCTGAGAAGCTTTGGGCACTGTGATCCCAGAGAGATAACATGAAGGCAAAACTACTTATTCTACTCTCAACCTGACCTGTGCCTTAGGTTCCTACCTATCCACCTGTGATTCAGGTTCCTCTCCTTGAAGTAAGTACAGAACACGTACTGTCAGGCTTCAGTGGAGGACTAAGGGCAGAGAGAAGTTAATAACAACCTTTGAGAAGGCTGTGCCCCCAGAAGAAAAAGTCACAAAGAAATGAAAAGATATGCTAATGGCCTTTGACCTCTGGAAAGCAACTCTCTCAAAGAAGCCTGGTGACCCAAGCAAGCCAATTTCCTTCATCTGAGGAATTCCTTGCTCTTGTTATTTTCCTGGGTTCATCATGACTCATCATTATTTTTCTAAGAAGAACTATTTGTCTTTGAGAGGGAGAAAGAAAGAAAGAAAATTATTGCACAAAAGCCATGGAGAAAACCCAAGGGAGCAGCCTCACCTTCACTGTGTGGAGACCCTGGCATGAAAGAGCAGCCTTCAGGTAGCCAAAAACTCTATGAACAATATCAATGTTCAGAAAGCTTGAGAGCCTCAAGGTAGAACTAAAAGGACAGAGCTTCTACTAAAGGAAGTGGTCTTCAGACCTTCATGAGCCAAAGGGAACCACTTTTTCCATGGCAGACTGTTACTGAGGATAATGCTGAATTCCAGAAATTAAGAACTGGCTCAGGAGAGATAGGGACCACTAGAGAAGGCCAGGCAGAATGAAGCTCTTGGGGAAGCTRGGCCAAGCCTCTCAGACAAAGCCAGCAAACTCAACCAAAGCCTCTGAGGGCTCTGCATGTAATAATCTCCATCTGAGACAGACAACCAGGGCAGCCCAATGCCACACTCACCGAATGTAAGAGTCTGTCTTGCCACACACGACACACAGGTTCTCTTTAACCATCAARTAATAGTCTCCTGGGGATTCAGGTCTTCCTGCAGGTTCAAACTGTAGCTTGACCACAAAAGGCTCTTCACTCACCAGCTCTTAGAAAAAAGAAATAGTGTCAGTTTTGTCCTGCCCCTTTCCACCCCCAAGGAAGAAGCATCCTTCTGTGTGCTGGCAGAAGACTATTTCTGAGGCATGACCACCCAGTCTGTTTGTCTTCCTTATCTACCCCCTTCCTCATCCCACTCCCACTCCTGGCAGTACCCATGTGMTGCAGCTAATTAAACTATGACAGCTGAATTTCACACCTCCAATGCCTTTATCCAGATACCATTGAGCTTTTCTTCGGTCACAAGTGCAGAGGGGCTGTCCATCTGGAGCATGGAGAAAGCAGTTATCATAAAGAGGTGATTTTCTGTAGACAAGGGAGAGAGAAAGCTTATATTGAAAGCTAACTGTTAGCCAGGGTACCCATTACCTTCTCATAATCTCTTCTGAATGATTCAAACTATTCTCCACATTAGGGTCAAACACACCCAATATGGAAAAAACAAACAGGGCAAGAATCCATGTTCAATCCTCTGTCTGCACTGCACTAGCAAGCAGAACTAGAAATCAATTTGTGAATGCCTCTAGTTTTTACACTTACAGAATGGGACATTAGGGAGTGAGTTAGGTAGCATTTACATAGCTCTGCTGTGAACAAAGAGGAAACAGCAACAAGAATACTGCCAAATGACTGGATTAAGCAAAGTAACTTTAAAAATTTAAAGTTCAAGCTTAAGTCATGAGGGCCATGTAGATTTATCTCTGGCTCAAATGAAATACTTTTTTTTTAATATATATATATATATTTAAAGAGAGAGAGAGAGAGAGAGAGAGAGAGAGAGAGAGAGAGAGAAAAGAGAGAATTTCATTTTTAATATTTATTTTTTAGTTCTCGGCAGACACAACATCTTTGTTGGTATGTGGTGCTGAGGATCGAACCCAGGCCGCACGCACTCCAGGCGAGCGCGCTACCAGTTGAGCCACATCCCCAGCCCATGAAATACTTCTTTCAACTTAATCATCTAATTCCTAAAGGCACTTTGCTATAGGGACCAAATTCCTGCTCCAAAGTACTTATTAGTCATCTTCTTACAACAAAAGTGCTATGTCCCACAGGGAAATTCTCATTGGCTAGAAAATAATGTTGAATTAGAGCTGGATATCATTCGCAACCATCAAATACCAAATGAACAAGAAACCCAAAGATGTATTTCCCCGGAAAWGTATCAGGCACCTCGTTACACATTTTTACAGCTATCCTGAAACAAACGAGGGATAATAATTACACCCCCTTTGTAGGCAGAGACATAATAATCTAAGATCCTGTGAGGGTCAAAGATTAAGCTAGGCTAAGCGCTCCTCATTTCCACTTCAATTGTCAAAAAAGAGAAAAGTAAAAGAAGGGGAAAATAAGAAAAATACAAAAATCAAGCAAAGAATAGTCTAAATGTGCCTAAAGGCAGAGAAAAGTAACATTGACCCCTGAGGAGACTCTGCTAGCTGACCCAAGCCTTCTCCCAGACCTACGGCAAAGCCCCTCACAATCTTTACTAGCCAGGGAACAACTTGGTTACCTGGCAGAATAGCCCACCCCCAGGGGCTTTCTTCTGTGTTTCCTGGGGTCTCTTCCTTGGTGGTTGCCTGGCACCATTCCATTGACCTTAGACTTTTTATTTCTTGGCTTCTGCTGACATTCTGTTGCTTCCCCATTAACCTCTTCTCCCAATCTGCTAATTCCTTTGCTTCGAAATGGGATGTCTACCATATCCTGGCATTTCTCCAAGACTTTTCTCCAGCCAATGCGGTCATCATTTTCTTCCACAGGTAAATTCCTAGAGAAAGGGTGTCCAAGAAGATGGAGAAAGAGAGCCACAGAAATCTGGGCATCCCTGGCTGCATATGTTACCTGAAGAAAAAGAACTGGAGATCAATGAAATCCAGAAGGCAACCTAGAGAGAGTAACTTCAAAGTCAAAGAATTCTAATTCAAAATGTATTATAATCTAAGTATTATATACTTCTTAAAAACTTTTTATTATAAAAAATTCAAGTCATAGGAAAGTAAATTGAATAATATAATGAACTCTCACATTCCCTCTATCTTTAACAAAAATAGCTAAAGTAGGGGCTGGGGTTGTGGCTCAGCGATAGAGGATTCTCCTAGGACATGCAAGGCACTGGGTTCGATCCTTAGCACCACATAAAAATAAATAAATAAAATAAAGGTATATTTAAAAAATAGCTAAAATAATGATGTATTCTAAATGCCAGATAATCCTTATTACCTATATAAATCAATGAAATTTCTATTTGCTACCAAACTGCTAGACAAGTTTTTCTCAAGTTTGGGGGAAAGACAGTTAACATAGGTCTGATAATGAGTACATGAAATTCACTTTGGGGGCAGCCATCTTTTAAAAGAGCTGAAACTATGACTATGAGCTGAATTAAGAGGACTGTGTGACTGTCAATCARAAATGACCTATCAACTGTTCATGCTGAAAAGAAATGAAACAAATAAGTTTTAATCATGGGCCTCAAATCAAAAGTCACAGGGTCCATTCCTCTAATTAATTTAACAATAGTAAGTCATTCTTTCTGGCAACTGATAACATCCAAGCTGGTCATAAATAAAAGTAGTCAAAAAGAGGGAAAGACTTTAAAATTCCTTTAATTCAACTTTAATAATCAGGCTGGGTAAATAATTTTATTGGTAAGGATGTCCTACCTTTTAGAATAATAAAACAAGTTCAGCTACACTTTTCCACCTAGATCCAACAATCTACTTATCTTTTTTTGTGTGTGTGTGTATGTGTGTGGTGTTAGGGTTGAACCCAGGGCCTTGTGCATGCAAGGCAACTAAGCTATATCCCAAGCTCCCAATCTATTGATCCATTGGCAGACTGTCTCTCACTGAAGAGCCCAGAGTGCTTCTCAACACATTGTTTGCARAAGATAAAGGAACAGGTGTTTTCAAAAAAACAGTGCCGGTAYCTTGGATGTCAACATGAAAAAGAACAAGTGTAGATCCCTAACTCACAGGACACACATTTAATTCAAAATGGATCACACACCTAAATGCAAGAGCTAAAACAAGATCCTAAAGGAGAACACAGAGTCTCAGGCTATGCAATGATTTCCTGGATATGACATCAAAAGTTTAAGTGATAAAAAAATAACTAGACAATTKCCTGGTGCAGTGATACACACCTGTAATCCCAGAGGCTCATGAGGCAGGAGCCTGCCTCAGCAAAATCGAGGTGCTAAGAAACTCAGTGAGACCTTATCTCAAAATAAAAACTAAAAAGGGCTAGGGATGTAAGTCATTGGTAGAGTACTCCTGTGTTCAATCTTCAGTACCAAAAAATAAGATTGTGATGAGAGGTATACAATACTGCAATTGTACTAAAATCCATCATTGTGTAATTTAAAGTGGATAATTTTTATTATAGGTAAATTGTWTCTCAACAAAAATGTTCTAAAAAGAAAGAAACTTACTCAGGGTCACAAATCAGAAATCTCTGGAGAAAACAAACTCAGGGCTGGAGATACAGCTCAATGGTAGAGAACTTGCCAAGCATGTGCAAAGCCTGGGTTCAATTCCCAGCACCACAAAAATAATAATAAATACATAAATAAATAAAATCTATAATTAAAATTAAGCTTTAAAAAAAAAGAAAGAAAACAAACTCAAGTAATTTGATTCCTAGAACTCTCCCACAGAATGTTAAACTTGAGATACTACTGCTAAATCTTTCCATTTATTTATTTATTTGGGGATGTATGTATATATGTATGTATGTTTTGGTACCAGTGATTGAATCCAGGGGCACTTAACCACTGAGCCATATTCCTAGCCCCCCCCCCCCCCCCCCCCCCCCCCCCCCCCCCCCCCCCCCCCCCCCCCCCCGCCGCCGCCGCGCACACACACACACACACATACTTTTTGGGACAGAGTCTTGCTAAGTTGCTGAGACTGGTCTTAAACTTATGATCCTCATGCCCCAACCTCCCAAGTTGCTGGGATTGCAGGCATGCGTCACTACCCCTTAACATTTTTGAAGAATGAACAAGTGGTATCCAATGTGGTAAATGAGAAGGCCAAAACCTAGACCTACTGGGTGTGGTAGGCCAAAAAGTCAAAAATCAAATTGGTTTGAGCCACAGAGATAGGAAAGTAGGGAGGACTACCTCATCAGATGACTACGAAAGCAAGGGTACAAGCAGGGGTGGAAGTGGAAAGATAAGGTAAAAGTCTCTATCAAAAGCACAAGATAAGGGCTGGGTTTGTGGCTCAGTGGTAGAGCACACACCTAGAACGTGCGAGGCCCTGGGTTCGATCCTCAGCATCACATAAAAATAAAATAAAGGTATTGTGTCCAACTACAATTGAAAAATAAAGCACAAGGGCTGGGGTTGTGGCTCAGTGGTAGAGCATTTGCCTAGCATGCCCGAGGCCCTGGGTTCAATCCTCAACACCACAAAATAAATAAATAAATAAATAAATAAACAAAATAAATGTATTGTGTCTAACACCCCCCCCAAAAAAAAGAAAAAAGAAAAAAAGAGCACAAGATGATCAAGAGCATCAAGACCACAGGGCTAGGTAACTACTACTTCCTACCCCAAAACAGTAAAAGTTTAAGTGATATAATGGTTAAACCAGAGAGGATCTGGACCTTGTATACCAGGCACAACCCAAGAGAGGGGCAAAATGTCACTTGGAAAAAAAGGAGGAGGTTGTGAGAAAGTCTACGTATTGCATGGTGAGACCACCAGCTCCCTTCTCCCCTTCGCCTACCAGCTAATGAGTAGTGGGGTAGAAGACTCTACCTAGAGAAACTAAGAGAAAAAACAGTTACTGACATCTGAGTATAATCTGTAGCTACTGGCAATGAAGCCCACTAGTCCAAAAGTCCTAGCCATACTCTATGCTCTCAATGAAAATTTTTTAATATCAAATGCAAATGTTATTTTCCATATTTTCTAAAATCTTGTTAAGTATTATTTTTATAATTAGAACAACAACAAAAAATCATTGCTAAAACAATGAAAAATAAGCCACTGGAAATTCTGAATGCTTACAGAAATAATATGAATCACAAATTTGGTTTCAAATTTGGCAACAATTAACTTCATCACCCTAAATTTTTATTCTGAAAATTTTCAAATATATAAAAGTTAAAAGACTAGCAATAACAACTGACATTCATAATTGTCAATAACTGCTTTATCTCTTTATAATAAACACATCACATTTTTTGGCTGAATTTATTTCAAAGTTAAGTTATATCTATTATATTTCACTTCTAAATCTCTCCGTGTGTATCTCCTAAAACAAGGACACTCTTCTACAGAATCACAACACTCCAGAACTATAACAGTAACACAATATAAGAACATTATAGTTAACTGGGCACCATGGCACATGCCTATAACTACAATGACTCAGGAAGCTGAGGCAGGAGGATTGAAAGTTCAAGGCCAGCCTCAGCAATTTAGTGAGACCTTTGTCTCAAAAAAATGTAAAGGGATGAAGATATAGATAATTAAAATGTCTAATAAATAGTTTAATATCTCTAATTATCCTAAGAAAAAGTCTTTTAAAGATATTCCAGGATTTGGGGTCCCTGATTCAATCAAGAACCACCAGCCAGGCACAGTGGCAAATGCCTGTACTCCCAGCCTCAAGTACCTCGAATCTAGACTATTACAGTAGCCTCCTGTTGGCCTACCTGCCTTAACTCTTGTGTACCTGCAATTCTTCTCCATAGAGTAACTAAAATGGTCTTTTAGCCTGGCATGGTGGTGCAYACCTATAATCCCAATGGCTTAGGGGGCTGAGCAGGAGGATTGTGAGTTTAGAGACAGCCTCAGCAACTTAGTGAGGCCCTATGCAACTCAGCGAGACCATGTCTCAAAATAAAATACTAAAAAGGACTAGGGAGGGGCTGGGGTTGTAGCTCAGCAATAGAGTGCTAGCCTAGCACCTGTGAGGCCCTGGGTTCGATCCTCAGCATATATAAATAAATAAAATAAAGGCACTGTGTCCAACTATACCTAAAAAATAAATAATTAAAAAAGGGTGAGTGGGGCTGGGGTTCTAGCTCAGCTGTAGAGCGCTCACCTTGCATGTGCAAGACCCTGGGTTCGATCCTCAGCACCACATARAAATAAATAAGTGAAATAAAGGTATTGTGTCCATCTACAACTAAAAATAAATAAATATTTTTTTAAAAAAAGGTTGGAGGGGCTGGGGATGTGGCTCAGTGGTTAAGTGCTCTTGGATTCAATCCCCCAGGATCAAAACAAAAACAAAAACAAAAAAACAGTGTGGTAGTGCATGCCAATAATCCCAGCAACATGGAAGGTTGAGGAAGGAGGATCACAAGTTTGAGGCCAGCCTCAGCATTTTAGTGAGACCCTGTCTCAAAATGAAAAAAGCAAAAAGGACTGGGGAAGCAGCTCTGYGGTAAAGCACTCCTGGGTTAAATCTCCAGTACCAAAAAAATTCTAAAAAGAACCTTACAGAGCATGTAGATGTCACTTTGCCACTTTCAATATCAATCAACATTTTTTTATACACTAGCTTTACTGAGATATAATTCACTCATTTTAAAAGTATCTAACTCATGATTTTTAGTGTACTTACGAAGTGGTGCAACTATCACCAGAATCAACTTTAGAACATCCTCATCACCCCAAAGAGAAACCTTATATTCTTATCTGAGTTCCCCAATCTTAGGCAACTACCTATCTATTTTCTGTCTCTACACATTTACCTATTCTGGATACTGCATGCAAATGGAATCACACACTATGAGATCCCTTGTGACTGATTTTTCTCACTTGGCATACACTAAAGATTCATCAATGTTACAGAATGCACCACTTTTATGAATAATAA